TTGGGACACCCTGTATCAAAGGTTTACGAAATCAGGTTGTAAAGATGTAAGTAGTTTGAGGCGAGTAATTATTTCCTTTTTCATTAATTTCAGTTTGAACTTTAAACATGTTTTCTTGTTGTTTTAGTTTATTTTAACATTATCTAGTCACTTTGCAACTAAATAAATATAATTTAAAAATTTATTTTACCACATGGCACATACATATATCATCAACAATCTGGATAAAATAATCAAAAATGTAGAATTTGACAACATTTAATCTCGTAAATGTATGTTTTATTCGCTTATTTTTATTAAATAATAGGTTTCTATTTAACTATCTACATTTAATTTGCAGTTTCTAAGAACGAGAATTAGTTAAAAAGGATCTAGGAGATATAAGAGGAAATTGAAAATAAAATCAAATTGTATTTTTTAAATTTTTCAGTGAGAACCAGAAATCTGTGGAATTGGAGGACGACTTTTAGACTCAAGTTGTGATTTTACATAATTTAATAAACATGGGATACAGTAAAATTTAAGCTACTGATTCATGAAAGACATCCAAAGCGTGCTTTACTGTCGTTTTCCTATCGCGCAGTTCTCTGGTTTCCACTAAATTCAGTTTATTTAGATTTTGTTTGAAAGGAAAGAAAACAAATGCAGTACAGTACAGTTCACGAATAGATTTTAATACGCGGCGTACAGATTATGGATGATCGGAAAATGTTTTCGCGTCTGTCAAATTTCAAAAAAATGTTGTAATAATTCAGAAAAAGGCGCTGAAACTTTAAAGTTCTCAAAAAAATAAATATTTTAACTTTAGTAAGTTTTTAAAGGAAAAACGAACCTCGGAAGAGTTGAAAGGAAAACAAACTTCGGAAGAGTTGAAAGGTCGCAAAGTGGAACCAGTAATTCCGCATAAAATTAATATTTGTGAGTGTGTCATCATTCACTTTGTATTAATACATTTAGTTTCTGATTTTTATTATATTTACGTTTATATTTTCTTTAATTCTGTAATTATGAGAAAACCCTTGAATAATATGGAAGAAAAATAGTTGTTTTCTTTACTTTCAAAAGTTCGAAAGATTTTTGCGGATTTTCAGTATTATTATTATTATTTATACAGAGCTGAAAACTTTAGAATGGTGGATATCGAGATCAATGCTTGATCTCCTTTTCTTCTAAATCTCTAGGTTAAATATTGCTTGTTTTCCTCTTGTTATTAATCTCCAGATTAATTAACCGATCGGGATTAGGGATATTTCATTCAAAAGTTTCAGCTCTGAATGCAGAATTACAAGTTTCCAGGTGGGATACATTTTCTTTGAAAAAAACAAACCTCCTCCCTTCCTTTAAAAATGATATTTCCTTGCAAGTATGTCAGGAAATTAAACTCTTTACCGTTGATAAATTTTTCTCTGATTATATTTTCAAGCTTTTGTCGACCTTTTATCAAAAAAAATATAATAAATTTGTTAATTTTTTCTTTGTCGTTTTGATATCGATATTTTGTCCTTGCTGTTTTTACAGAGACTATAGGTGGAAACATTAAGCAGATCGTCTGAATAGCCAGAGTGAATAAATACTGAAGTTGAGCAGACTAAGGCAACGACAACAGGTTGGGCCATGAGGTTTTATTTGGTTTGAAAATAATTGCATGAAAAGATTTCATTTGGAAAGTAAAGACTAGAATTAATAGACTAAAGGCCCATGTGAATGTCGTCTTCATCTATAACTTCGAAATTTTCATAATTAATAATAATTTTTTTTTGTATGTTTGTATGTTTAGTTTATATGTAAATACTATACAGTCGCTTAATCAATTCATTGATTTTGCCTGGCACTTATAATTCTACAGGAATTTATCCAAAGAGAAAAGAATATATTAGAATGGAATTTACTAGAAAAAAGTGTAAAACGGCCATTTTGTTGTACTTTTGTATTTAATCACTTTGCTGAATAGCAACAACTAGTAACACTTGCATATTGGGTATCGAACCAAACATGACAGTTGAGAGACGACTTAAAGGCAAAGAGAATAGAATATATATTAGAGTGGAACCCTCGGTATGAATTTTGTCAGTCCCTTTCAGCCTGAAAGGGAGTTCAAAGTGAACAAGTCATGTAAATGTTCACAAATTATATGCAGTATAGTACATTAATACAGTATCTTCCCTAGACTATCCATTTCAATTTTCGAATTTCTTAAAGCTGTTAAATAAACTTTATAAAATGAATTAGATGAATAAAAAACATCATTTGATTTATAGTCATAACGGAAAATCATCATAAAGTCTATGTGAAATGATCATTGGTCAATTATGAAACCAGCCTATTTCATAATTTGGATTTCTTTTAATATTAATTTTAGATTTTCTCAGTGGCGTAAATAAGGGGGGTTATTGGGGTTATTTACCCTCCCCTAGAATCCTGGGGGTAAATACCCCCCCCTAGAATCCTGGGGGTAATGGGGGAGGATGGAAAGGGCACTTCCCAAAAAAGTAATTTTACACAATTTTAACGTCTCTGAGAAATTTACTTCACCAAAATTGCAAATTCCCAAAAAAGTAAGTTTTCACAATTTTAACGTCTCTTGGGATAAAACTGCGCTTTTTTTTACCGAATGCTTCTCAAAACGGGATATTATTTTACTTAAATGCCCCCAAGGGTCAGTTACGTAACATCACGCAGTTGTGGGAATTATTGGTCGCTAATATTAACCAAAAGGCGGTAAAACAGAGAACAATTTGTTTTCAAGTCTAAATAAAACAGTACTATTTACAGAGGGTCCCAACTTAAACCTGGGAATTGAGGGACGATATCGTGATCGTCAATTAAATGATTTTGGATTTAATTTATTGAATAGTGATACCTACAGATAAAGCTGTAATAATGGTATAGAATTTATTTGTTTACGTATTGATTGCAACCGCGACATAATTACTAAAAAAAAAAGTTCTTTGATGCATACAAATTAAACTTGTCCGTCTTCACTGTTTATATTGCAAAGACATGAACAGACATATCAGTACAGCCTTTTACCGTTTTCATAAAATAAACTCTAACAGACATAATTAATATTGACATTTAAAATTATGATATTACAATGCTAGTTCTAAACCAAGACTATTTCGAATTTGTCAACTCGTTTCCCAAGTTTACCGGTGCACCCGGTAGATTGTGAATATTTGTTTGTACATCGAGAATTGTATACTATTTTCAAGGATTTAATGCAAGGAAAGTTATTTCAGAGGTGTACGCATCTTTTGTACTGCAGTGTACTGTCACTGGGCGGTAATGTAAACACAAGACGGATGTTGAAGCCTGACATGGGATCCATCTTTCACATAAATAATCAATGAAATATTCTGGTCATAGTAAACTATTATGTGAATTATCAAAATTATCAAAATTCAATGCTTTTAACCTCCTCGGATACTAAACGAACACTGATGCATCTATTCTTGTTTACAAATTCCGCCCAGAGAGAACTGGTTTTAATATGTACGCAGAGTATACGCAACTGCAATTAACTTTCCTTACATTAGTACCTTGACTTTTACTTTTTTCATTAGATATTTTCAATCAATACATTGAAGTTTGGTGGTATAAAATTACCCCAATTTTTTTACTTTCTTACGCTTACTTTTTCTTCAATCTATCTTTTTCTAAAAAATCTGTCAAGTCACAATTTCTGCAGAAGAAAAAAAACGTATATTTACCAGTATCTACTAAATTAAAATTAACAAATACCATATTTCTGTCCATACCCCATTCTAAGGTTCATTGTATAATAATATGGTGACCCAAACGTTCACTAAAAATATTAACGGAGGTACATGAGTACGTTCTTTGTACGAACAAGGGCCGTCCTAATAACATACATTGGGGGACGCTTGCTTGTCCGCTAGGTGACTTACATAAGTTTCTTATCAGATAGATAGATAATTACGATCAACACGTCGGAAACGTCATTTGGTCGACCATTATATTGTTTATAAGGAACCCGCTCTAGTTAAGATTTTATTTGAAGGGGGGGGGGTCATTAACACCAGGGCCCAAAAGGTTATATAGTACAAATATGTGAAGTATAACTCCAGTATGGAAACAGTACAACAAAATGGCCGTCTTACACTTTTTTCTAGTAAATTCCACTCTAATATATATTCTATTCTCTTTGCTTAAAGGATTTCATCTTTGAAATAATTTGCGACATTCATTCGTAAACCTTTAATATTTTAATAGTTTTTTTGATCTTTTAATATTTTTTTTCTTTTGACTTTTCCCTATAGAAGCCATATTTATAAAGAAATCTTAATTTTACAGTAACAAATTTTAAAATAAAACTTCAGCAGAGTAATGAGAAAATTCAAATTTTTGAGGAAAAATGTCCCGCCTTAAAAGTACATTATTTACAGTACGTGTGATAGGGTAGTAGTAAGAACTGTGAGATTAGGAGGAAATGAGACAATAACAAAAGGCGATGCCAGGGGACGTTATCCTAGGACATAGAAGATCGTTTTAAAACGATCGTTCGTTAGGCCTGCTGCAGCTATAGCGAACATATACAAATTTATGTAGATTACAATGGTTGTTATGTTTTTACAAAGTTGTCCTTGCTCAGGATGAAAAATAAACAAACTTTTTTTTTAACTTAAATTGTTTTCTTTTACAAAAGAGTCTCTTTTAAAGTCCAATGTTTGTTGACTTGAATTTACAACTGTATAATCAAGTTTTCACAAAGGTTCCTGCATCTTGGGTTTATTCAAATTTTAGCGTTATCAGCCATTGACTTAAATTTTCACAATTTGTTTAAGCGCGGGACACTTGAAAAGATAAAAAATATTACAATACAAAATCAGAGGAGGACTAAAAAATATTTTCGTATGGTTTCTGATTTTCGAGTTTTAGCTTTAACTTAGGCGAATTTTTCCAATCATTGTAAATACGTATAACAAGAATTTTCAAGCAATGTTTTATTTTTCCACCCTGTCTGTGCAAAGAGATATGAATTGTAGAACCTACTTGTCAGTTGTAAATTTGGCTTTAAAGTGGAACCTAAGAAATGAAGCCGATTTTTATTATTTTTCAAAGCGTTCTTATTGAAGCAGGTTAAACTTTTTATATTAGATGTATGTACTTTCCCAATGGTATTTTCCCAAGCGGCAACTTCCCAAATGTGCAATTTCCAAAGCGGCAACTTTCCAAGTATGTCCTAGCCGTAGTGCTAGGCCCCTAT